GTGTGGTGTGGTGTGGTGTGGTGTGGTGTGGTGTGGTGTGGTGTGGTGTGGTGTGGTGTGGTGTGGTGTGGTGTGGTGTGGTGTGGTGTGGTGTGGTGTGGTGTGGTGTGGTTTGTGTGTGTGTGTGCACATCGTGGCCCGAGGCATGTGCACGGCCCAGGGGGGGGGGCCAGGGAGAGCATTGAAACAAGAAGAAGAGGCGCCACGAAATCTGGGGAGGTGTCGTGGCCCCCGCCATGAGATCCGCCCCCCACCCCTGGTCATCGCCTCCCTCCTTGGCCGCCCCCGAGCAGCACGAGGAGGAGCAGCCCGCCGGGCCAAGGACTTAAAACGAACATGCCCCGCCCACCCCTCGGCGCTCCTGGCGGGGGGGGGCGGAGCAGCAGGGGAGGGCACCACCACGGAGAGGAGCAAGGTTGGACCTGTACGCCAGAAGAGCATACTCCGAGAACACGCTTCGAGAACACGAGGCACTCCGCCGGCCAAAGTAGAGAGCACTCGAGGGTGCCCTCCCCCAGGATGCACAAGAACATCCAGTAGATACGAAGAGCATCGGGGCACCCTCCCCGAACCGACCTCGATCTTGTACATGGGTCCGACTGTGAGGAAAAAGCAGCCGCAGCAGCAGGAGATGGAGGAAGGAGGAGGAGGACCGCGGCACGCTGTAGCGGAAGTCACCGCGGCGGGCTGCAGTAGCCGCGACGACAAAGGGCTCAGGCCTACGGCATCGCGTGAACCGCTCGATCCTAAGAAATGTAGATGGCAGCGTCGGAACTGACGGAGAGGTCCTCCATCGGGTCGGACGACGAGGGGGGGGGGGATAGTAAAGGGGGCCAAAGGGATCCCCAGCCTCGGAACTCACTAAGAGGCCCTCTCTCGGGTCGGACGAAGGGTGATGGGCCTGTTTTCCACCACCTCCACCATAAGTTGAAGTAGGAGGGGTCCTCCTCCTCCTCCTCCTCCTCCTCCTCCTCCTCCTCCACCTCCTGCCCCCCTCCAACTTATGGCGGTGGTGGTGGGAAACAGGCCCACCAGAGGGGGGAGGTAGTAGAGGAGGGTCAGGGGACCCGCCGGCGTGGCCGGCTCTCCCTGCGCCTGGATGCGCCCGTGCATCGAGAAGAGGGCGCCCAGTGGCGGGGCCGAGGCCAGCTGCATGTATATGGCCGTGTTTCGTAGCCCCCCTTTGGGCTATCCCCCCCCTTCCGTCCGATTCCTCCCTCTCCTCCTCCCCTCCTCCCCTCTCCTCCTCCTCCTCTCCTCCTAATCTCTCCTCCTCCTCCTCCTCCTCCTCCGTCCTCCTCCTCCTCCTTCATCCCTCCTCCCTCCTCCTCCTCCACCGCCTCCTCCTCCTCCTTCCTCCTCTCCTCCTCCTCCTCCCTCCTCCTCCTCCTCCTCCTCCTCCTCATCCTCCGATATTCCCCCATGCTTCGTGGTTCTGTTTTCTTCCTGCCGCGCTGCACCCGCCGACACACACACTCACTCTTCGTACTGGCGAAGCGGTCACTACCTCAGTCCGCGTGCGGCGCACAAGCACAGCACAGCTCAGCACAGCACACAGCTCAGCTCAGCTCAGCTCAGCACACAGCACAGCTCAGCACAGCTCAGCACAGCCCAGCACGGCTCAGCTCAGCACAGCACAGCACAGCTCGTGGCACTTTCTCGACACCACAGGGGGTGCGCAGGGGTTGGTCTCTCAGCTCGGCCGCTATCCACGACACTGGCGCAAAGCCTAGCAGGCGTGGCACTTTCTCGACACCACAGGGGGTGCGCAGGGGGTGGTCTCTCAGTTCGGCCGCTATCCACGACACTGCGCAAAGCCTAGCAGGCGTGGCACTTTCTCGACACCACAGGGGGGTGCGCAGGGGGTGGTCTCTCAGTTCGGCCGCTATCCACGACACTGGCGCAAAGCCTAGCAGGCGTGGCACTTTCTCGACACCACAGGGGGTGCGCAGGGGGTGGTCTCTCAGTTCGGCCGCTATCCACGACACTGGCGCAAAGCCAAGCAGGCGTGGCACTTTCTCGACACCAAAGGGGGTGGGCAGGGGGTGGTCTCTCAGCTCGGCCGCTATCCACGACACTGGCGCAAAGGCTAGCAGGCGTGGCACTTTCGCGACACCACAGGGGGTGCGCAGGTGGTGGTCTCTCAGCTCGGCCGCTATCCACGACACTGGCGCAAAGCCTAGCAGGCGTGGCACTTTCTGGACACCAAAGGGGGTGGGCAGGGGGTGGTCTCTCAGCTCGGCCGCTATCCACGACACTGGCGCAAAGCCTAGCAGGCGTGGCACTTTCACGACACCACAGGGGGTGCGCAGGGGGTGGTCTCTCAGCTCGGCCGCTATCCACGACACTGGCGCAAAGCCTAGCAGGCGTGGCACTTTCTCGACACCACACGGGTTGCGCAGGGGGTGGTCTCTCAGCTCGGCCGCTATCCACGACACTGGCGCTAAGCCTAGCAGGGCGTGGCACTTTTCTCGACCACCCACAACGGGGTGCGCAGGGGGTGGTCTCTCAGCTCGGGCCGCTATCCTCGACCCTGGCGCAACCTAGCAAGCGTGGCCACTTTCTTGACAACCACAGGGGTGCGCAGGGGGTGGTCTCTCAGCTCGGCCGCTATCCACGACACTGTCGCAAAGCCTAGCAGGCGTGGCACTTTCTCGACACCACACGGGGTGGGCATGGGGTGGTCTCTCAGCTCGGCCGCTATCCACGACACTGGCGCAAAGCCTAGCAGGCGTGGCGCTCTCTCGACACCACAGGGGGTGCGCAGGGGGTGGTCTCTCAGCTCGGCCGCTAACCACGACACTGGCGCAAAGGCTAGCAAGCGTGGCACTTTCCTCGACACACAGGGGTGCGCAGGGGTTGGTCTTCTGCAGCTTCGGCCGCTATCCACGACACTGGCGCAAAGCCTAGCAGCGTGGCACTTTCTCGACACCACAGGTGGTGCGCAGGGGGGGGTCCTCAGCTCGGCCGCTATCCACAACACAGGCGCAAAGGCTAGCAGCGTGGCACATTCGCGACACCACAGGGGGTGCGCAGGGGTGGTCTCTCAGCTCCGGCCGCTATCCACGCCACAGCCGCAAAGCCTACAGGCGTGCACTTCCTCGACACCACACGGGTGCGCAGTGGGTGGTCTCCTCAGCACGGCCGCTATCCACGACACTGGCGCAAACGCTAGCAAGCGTGGCACATTCTTGACACCACAGGGGGTGCGCAGGGGGTGGTCTCTCAGCTCGGCCGCCATCCACGACACTGGCGCAAAGCCTAGCAGGCGTGGCACTTTCTCGACACCACAGGGGGTGCGCAGGGGGTGGTCTCTCAGCTCGGCCGCTATCCACGACACTGGCGCAAACGCTAGCAGGCGTGGCACTTTCTCGACACCACAGGGGGTGCGCAGGGGGTGGTCTCTCAGCTCGGCCGCTATCCACGACACTGGCGCAAAGCCTAGCATGCGTGGCACTCTCTCGACACCACAGGGGGTGCGCAGGGGGTGGTCTCTCAGCTCGGCCGCTATCCACGACACTGGCGCAAAGCCTAGCAGGCGTGGCACTCTCTCGACACCACAGGGGGTGGGCAGGGGGTGGTCTCTCAGCTCGGACGCTATCCACGACACTGGCGCAAAGCCTAGCAGGCGTGGCACTTTCTCGACACCACACTGGGTGCGGAGGGGGTGGTCTCTCAGCTCGGCCGCTATCCACGACACAGGCGCAAAGCCTAGCAAGCGTGGCACTTTCTCGACACCACAGGGGGTGCGCAGGGGGTGGTCTCTCAGCTCGGCCGCCATCCACGACACTGGCGCAAAGCCTAGCAGGCGTGGCACTTTCTCGACACCAAAGGGGGTGGGCAGGGGGTGGTCTCTCAGCTCGGCCGCTATCCACGACACTGGCGCAACACCTAGCAGGCGTGGCACTTTCTCGACACCACAGGGGGTGCGCAGGGGGTGGTCTCTCATCTCGGCCGCTATCCACGACACTGGCGCAAAGCCTAGCAGGCGTGGCACTTTCTCGACACCACACGAGGTGCGCAGGGGGTGGTCTCTCAGCTCGGCCGCTATCCACGACACTGGCGCAAAGCCTAGCAGGCGTGGCACTTTCTCGACACCACAGGGGGTGCGCAGGGGGTGTCTCTCAGCTCGGCCGCCATCCACGACACTGGCGCAAAGCCTAGCAGGCGTGGCACTTTCTCGACACCAAAGGGGGTGGGCAGGGGGTGGTCTCTCAGCTCGGCCGCTATCCACGACGCTGGCGCAAAGCCTAGCAGGCGTGGCACCTTCTCGACACCACAGGGGGTGCGCAGGGGGTGGTCTCTCAGCTCGGCCGCTATCCACGACACTGGCGCAAAGCCTAGCAGGCGTGGCACATTCTCGACACCACACGGGGTGCGCAGGGGGTGGTCTCTCAGCTCGGCCGCTATCCACGACACTGGCGCAAAGCCTAGCAGGCGTGGCACTTTCTCGACACCACAGGGGGTGCGCAGGGGGTGGTCTCTCAGCTCGGACGCTATCCACGACACTGGCGCAAAGCCTAGCAGGCGTGGCACTTTCTCGACACCAAAGGGGGTGGGCAGGGGGTGGTCTCTCAGCTCGGGCGCTATCCACGACACTGGCGCAAAGCCTAGCAGGCGTGGCACTTTCTCGACACCACAGGGGGTGCGCAGGGGGTGGTCTCTCAGCTCGGCCGCTATCCACGACACTGGCGCAAAGCCTAGCAGGGAACATTCGCGACGAGGGCCCAGAACGCAGGATTGTGCATATATATATATATATATATATATATAGATACATACATAAGCAAACACATAAGATTTAAATTAAGTATGTGGGGTTCCTCGGTAGCGTAATCATTATTCTTATCCTCAATATTATTATTATTATTATTATTATTATTATTATTATTATTATTAGTATTATTATTATTAATTGTTATTAGTAGTATTATTATTATTGTTATTAATATTAATATTATTATTATGATTATTATGAATATTAGCATTCTTCTTGTTCGTATAATTAGTAGTATTATGATTACTCTTCTAATTAATAGTATTATTATTCTTCTTATTATGACTATTAGTATTCCTCCTCCTCCTCCTCCTCCTCATCCTCCTCCTCCACCTCCTGCCCCCCTCCAACTTATGGTGGTGGTGGTGGAAAACAAGCCCATCAGAGGGGGGAGGTAGTAGAGGGGGGTCAGGGGGCCCGCCGGCGCGGCCGGCTTTCCCTGCGCCTGGATTAGGAAGGCACCAACTATACACCAACACCGTTCCTGGCCCAGGATCACCCTGGGCCCAGGATCGGTGTATACGCCCTCCTGCCTTGGGCAAGAAGGCATGTACACCGATCCTGGGCCCAGGGTGATCCTGGGCCAGGAACGGTGTTGGTGTATAGTTGGTGCCCTCCGATGGATGCGCCCGCGCACCGAGAAGAGGGCGCCCAGTGGCGGGGCCGAAGCCAGCTGCATGTATGTAGCCGCTTTTTCGTAGCCCTCCGTTGAGCTATCCACCCCCCCTTCCGTCTGACCCGACTCTCCTCCTCCTCCCTCTCTCCCTCCTCTCCTCTCCTCCTCCTCTTCCTCTCCTCTCCTCCTCCTCCTCCTCCTCCTCCTCCCTCCTCCTCCTCCTCCTCCTCCTCCACCTCCTGCCCCCCTCCAACTTATGGTGGCGGTGGTGGAAAATAGGCCCATCAAAGGGGGACAGTGGACAGTGCCGAGAGCGTGCAGCTGAATCACGAACACGCCTCGAAAAAAAGAACGAGAGAGGGCCCTCATCCAACAAGGGGCGCTCTCCGCGCCGTGCGCGGGGCAGGGGAGCAACGGTGCGAGGGTCACTAACGGCGCAACGCCGGGCAGTCCCCAC